GCTAATGATTTGATCTTGATTGTGATTGTAGAGAGCGGCCGACCTGGCCGGCTGGCTTCCATGCAGGTTATCGTAGATCCGGGCTTGGCTGCCAGGCAGCTGCCGCAGCTGTGGCCAGCGTTCTGTGTTTGCCCCTGGTCTGGCCGTTGCCTGTTTGTATGTTCCGTCTCCCAACAGCATAGAGATACTACGTCGCAGGGAAAGGCAGATAATACTGTCTTTTTGAAAGAGCTACTGACGTGGCTTTTTTTTTTTTTTTATCAATTAAGAAAATTAGATTCCTGACAATAAAGTATGCTGAAGGGAAATGATGGAAGTTACTTTATTTTGTCTTTCTCTCTTTTTTTAATGAGTCTTCCACTCACTAGACAATTCCGAAAGACAGGGACCTTATCTCTCTTGTTTACAGTTGTGTCCAGGTCCTCTTGGAGGTTGAATGAGGACTTAGCAATTTCTGGGTGGTTGTTGTGTAAAGTTCCCCAAATTTTAAAATATGAAGACATGCAAGCATACTAATAAAATCTTGTGCCCCCCAATTTGACACTTAGGTGCAATCACGCGCACGCACACACACACACACATAGCTATTATGATTATTGTGTTACTTATTAATAAACTTACAGGATTTATGAAGCAGAGTAACTCACATTGTGCCCCAAGCTACGTGGCGCAGTAAAGGACACAAGCTTAGATCTGAAAGGCAAACTTCACGTGGCCCATCAAGAAGGTCCAACCTGGGCAAGCAGCCCTTAGAGCACCCTCTGAGTCACCTGTGGCCTCTGACACAATGGGGGAGGAATGGGTGCTTTCCTCCACTCATGCTGCTGTTGACACAGAACCTGGAACTGCAGCTGAGTTTTCATTTTCATAGGAAAGGGGGAGGGGGAAAAGCTGTCAAATTAAAAATACGCATGATTTGCAATTTCATTTGTAAATTAAGAACTGGAATACGGTTTATGATTTATTATTTTCCACTGAGTGTGTTTCCAAGCTTACAGATCATTAGTAAACCCAGGAAATGTTGTGAGAGACACCACTTTAATTAGGCTTTGGACTTCATCTAGCCGGAAACACAAAGGTAGAGAGACAGCTTCGGATTAGCATAAAACGCCCTGTTTTGGCAACTCCCACTGTTTACTTCTCTCCGGGCACTGCGCCTTCCGAGAGGGAGCGGCCTGAACAGCCGCAGGGCAATGGGCTCGTGCTGGACTTTCGGCACCTTCGGGCGAGGTCATGCCACGGTTCAGGGAACAACATGATCTCCTGTTTGGATGCTGCGATGGTGGAAATTAGTGTAAGTGGTCTGTCTACATTAAAGGAGATAGATACATATTATTTGTCATATTTGGCTGTCTCTGGGTAAGAGCGTGTCAGGAATGGACGGACAGGAGTTCATAAGTCAGGACAGGAGTATGCCGGGAGGTCTCAGGGAGCTGGAGGGCTTTCTGAGTGACTTGGCTAGCAAAGCCATGGTCTGTGGTTTTTCTCTTAAGTAAAGTGCTTCAGCTCCCTCCCTTAAAGAAATAACAAGATAGGTATTTCCCGAAGCCGAGTAAGTGGTTAAAACATCTGCGTTGGGCACGTAAGAAGTTGATATGTGCTTTGACCCTTTGATCTTGTATTACCTCTAAGAAATTCAGGATAATACTGAATATCTTGAAAGAGTACATTATTGAACAGCAACCCTTGAAAGGTAAATATGTAAGATTATTAGTTTAGCTGTAATTGTTTAAATCCCTTCCCTCTCATACCATCCTTCTCCACAAACAGCCTCTCTTCTGTTCTCAGACGTACGCAGACAATCATATACATCCACACATATTTCACCCAACCTTGTTGTTTCCCCTATAAACCAGCTTAGAATAAACTGACCCACAGGAATGACATAGTCGAACGGAAAGTTACGCAGGGTAAGATCCATAGCATGGGAGAAGATGCCCGTGAGCATCTTGGTTCAGCTCAATCAGTCAAGTCCCCAAGACCCCGCACAAGGCAGGCTGGTCTCTTGGTTCAGTATGGTGATTTGGTATATTTTGTTTTACTCAAGAATTATAGGGGACTCAACAGAAACAAAAATGATTCATGTGTAGCTATGATAAACCACAGTATCTGTTTGAGCCATTGCTTTTAAAATTTAGGAAATTCTTTGCTATCTCCGAACAGCTTACCAAGTGTTGCCATCAATCAGTGGGCACCACTACGTAACTCAGTAGTATTCTTTTATTGCCCATGAGAGCTGGAGGTCACTTTGGTGTTGATAGTCTACTGGTAATACTCAAGGTCCTTTTCTCAGATTTAAGACCTTTATCAGCTAGATTTCTACAGGCCCTCTTTCTTCCTTGTCTACTTGTGCATAGCACAACTGTATCCCTGGGGGTTTTCTTTCTTCTTCGTGAAGCCAGTTGAAGAGAATGAAAAGATAAGCCACAAACTGGGAGAAAATAACTGCAAAGCACATATCTGGTAAAGCACTGGTATCCAAAGTGTAAAATAAATCTCTTAAAACAACAATAAGAAAACCATTAGCGCCTACATTTACACAATGGAACACTATGCAGCTGTAAGAAAGAGAGATGTCTTACCCTTTGAGATGACATGGAGGGAGCTGGAGAGCATTATGCAAAGCTAAATAAGCCAGTCAGAGAGAGACACCTACTTGATCTCACTTACTTGTGGTATATAGTGAACAAAATAAGCTGACAAACAAAACAAATCGAGACATGGAAGTAGGGAACAGACTGACAAACCTCAGAAGGAAGGGGCGAGGGGGGGATGGGAAGAGGCAAAACAAAGAACTGATATGTATATATGCACGACCAATGGACACAGACAAAAGTTTGGAGAAGGCAGAGGGGGATGGGAGTGGAGAGGAGCGCGTTAATGGTGGGGAGAAAAGGAGGAAATCTGTAATACTTACAATAATAAAGATTTTTTAAAAAAGAAAAGAAAACAACTAGCTCCATTAAAAATAGGCAAAAGATCTGAGCAGACACCTCACCAAAGAAGATACACATATAACAGAAAAGCATATGACAAGATGCTCAACATTGTGTTACTGGGGAATTGCAAATTAAAACAACCATGAAATACAGCCTATTAGACGGGCTAAATTCAAAACCCCGACAACACCAAATGCCGACAGGGACGCAGAGCACAGGAACGCCCATTCACTGCTGGTGGGACTGCTAAAGGGCACAGCCGCTCGGCAAGACAGTGTGGCAGTTTCTTTCCAAGCTGAAACATAGGCTTTCCATGCACCTCAAGGATCATGCACCTAGGTATTTATGAATTGAAAACTGTTCACACAAAATCTGCACATAGATGTTCATGGCAGCTTTATTTATAATTGCCCAAAATGGGAGCAATCAGGATACCCTTCAACAGATAAACAAACCATGGTCCATCCACACAATGGAATGTTACTCAGCAGTAAAAAGAAATGAACCATTGAGCCAAAAAAAAGATTCAATGCAACTTAAAGGCATATTTCTAAGTGAAATAAGTCTACCCCCCCCCCCCCACACACACACACACACACTCCGAAAGGCTTATATTTCAATTATATGACATTCTGGAAAAGGCAAAAATATAGAGACAGTTTCTAAAAATCAGTGATTGCCAGAGGCCCAGGAGAAGGGGAATTGTTAGGGCTGGGAACCGATTCTGTGTGATGCTGTAATGGTGACTATATGACATCATGCATTTGCCGAAACCCATAGAGCTGTTCAATGCAAAGTGTGGACCCTACTGTAAACTATGGACTTTAGTCGATTATCATGTATCAATATTGGTTCTTTTTTTTTTTTAATCCTCACCCAGGGACATTTTTGCATTTATCTTCAGATACAATGGGAGGAAGAGAGAGAGAGAAAAACATCAATATGAGAGAGACATCAACTGGTCACCACCCACATGACCCCAACCAGGGCCGGGGACAACCTGCAACTGAGGTACGTGCCCTTAGTGGGAACCGAACCCAGGCCTCTCTGGTCCGCAGGCCGACACTCTAACCGCTGAGCCAAACCGGACAGGGTTATATTGGTTCAATTTTTATACAAACCTAAAACTATCCTAACATTTTTAAAAGAATCTGTCATGCCCTGGCCAGTTTGGCTCAGCAGTTAGAGCGTCAGCCTGCAGACTAGAGAGGCCCGGGTTCGGTTTCCGCTAAGGGCACGTACCTTGGTTGCAGTTTGTCCCCAGCCCCGGTTGGGGTCATGTGGGTGGCAACCAGTCAATGTGTGTGTGTGTCTCTCTCTCCCGTTCTATCTGAAGATAAACGCAAAAAATGTCATCAGGTGAGGATAAAAAAAAAAAAATAGAATTTTTCATGCAATAACCTTTGTTACACACACACACACACACCAGTACACCAGTCACACTGAAAATTCCTCGTACATCCAGCACAAACCTGTGTTCAGACATGGAAACTAAGCTGTGGGTCGCATACACTACTCACTGTGGTATTGCGTCACACACTGGATGTGATGCTCTGAAGTCCGAACCAATAAACCTCGTTGGATCGTTGATCTTTTCTTTTTTTTTTTTTATCCTCACCCGAGGACATTTTTCCATTTTTTGTTCAGGTAGAGTGGGAGGGAGAGAGAGGAACAGAGAGAGAGAGAGAGAGAAACATCGATGTGAAAGGAACACATCGAGTGGCTGCCACCCGCACGACTGACCAGGGCCGGGAACAAACTGAAACCGAGGTACATGCCCTTAGTGGGAACCGAACCCGGGTCTCTCAGGACCATGGGCCGACGCTCTAACCGCTGAGCCAAACCGGCCAGGGCAATCATTGATCTTTTCCGCAGGCGAAGTGCACGTGTCCAAGTTAAGACCCACTGCACGTAATGACCCACTACTTGCTAACTTCCCACAGACAGCTAACTGTTTGATGACCGAATGTCAGACAATAAGAGCAGGACGCTGAGCCCTCCCTGTCGCCGTGCTAGAAAGATCTAACCCAACACTTAAGGGTCTTTTTGCTTTTCTTCCAGGCCTTGCCATCGCCAGTGCCCTCGTAGACATTTCTCAGCAGAAGCCTTCGGATAGTAAAGACAAGACGCCGGGGGTCCGGAATCGCAAACACCACCTCTCGACACGCCAAGGAACGTGTGTCTGAGGAACAGGAGCTCCTCCGGGGTCCTTCGTACTGTTCTACCTTGTAAATGGCTTCCCTTAAGGCTGGCCTACGGCCTCAAGTTTTACGGAGGTGAAACTGTATACACGGTCCCAGGACCCGCGTGCAGTCCCTCCACGTGGGCAGCAACCCAAGTGGCCAAAGAATGTTCATGAGTTTTATAGAAGTAGCAGGATCAAAGGTCGTGGGTGATCCAGTCAGTTTTACGACTCTTGTAGGCTTATCCTAGATAACTTTAAATTACTCTGGAAAAAGATGTATATTGTTTCTTAATGCAGATGAAGAATATGTAATTCGTATAATCCAAACTGTTTATATCCCGAGATATTAAAGAAAGACATTTTATAATGCCTGAACGATGAGACGTGTACAGTTTTTGCCTCGTAAGCAAACTTAAATCCCTTGTATATGAGACAGGAAATGAAGACATTGCAATGGCTTTAACTGCTGTTTTATCTCACTCTCGATGTAAGTGCCAGATTTTGATTTGGTAGGATGTGGGCACTGTATTTCCATCTTTCCCATGACGGTATCATGTCCAAAGTCAGAGCAAGTGAGTGCTGTCCGCCGACTGGAACGCGGACCTGAGTGAGTCCGTGGGGATGGATGGCGGGTGCGACTTCACCGGCGGTTCCTTAGAACCCGAGGGAAGAGGACCTTCTGTCATCCGTGCCAGCTGCCTAATCCTTATCAAGCCGACGGAGCATGGAAATGCCTGTCCAGCGATCCGTTTCCCCTCCTTCCCAACAGCCTCCAACACCACAGCCCTGAAGAGAGCTGAGCGAGTTGTTTTAGTGTGTGACCTGCCGCTCCAACGTGGTCATTCGTTCCTTGCCAGGGAGCCCCTGGATCAGAGCTCTGATCCACCTGCCTTTTCATAAGCATGGACCTTCTCCTTCCGACCATCTCCTCCTAGCTGCTAGATGTCCTCTACCTTTGACACGTGATGAAAAGTATTCTAGAGCAACACCTCCCGAGTCCTAATATGACCCAGGCTCCTTCCCGCCCACTCCATTGCTGAGAATACGGGCAGGGAAGGGCTTGGCAGGCGAGCGCCTACAGGCTTCTGGTTTCCAACATGAACCCACTGGTGTCGTGCACGAAGTCTCCCGTCAAACACCAAGGTCGGTATTGCCTGCATTCAGCCTATCCCTAAGGACTCAAAACTCTGAATTACGGCAGAAAGGAAAAGGGATGCCAAACAGTATTCCCATGGGGACATAGGATCATTGCTGTCCTCATTTTGAGCACAGTTCATGAGAACTCAGTAGCATTACAGATCTCGTCGGGAGCTGTAGGCTCTGAACGTCAGGGTGGCTCCAGGATACTGGTAGAGAACACAGAGATGTCCAACGCGGCTTCATGCGATAGAGTTTTGTTCGATCTGAAAGCCATTTAAACGTCATCGATGTGTAGAACTACATATGTGCTTTTCATGTTCTTTGGATTTCTGGAAGGTAAACTTCACTGTTTACACGAATGCACAGTCACCCGCGTGTGACGGCTGTGCAGTGGCGGGCCACACACTATTGTGACACAAAATGTTGGTTTCATAATGCCATTTATACGTAGTCCACTTACTTTGATGAGGATCGAATGTAATATATATCAGGAATGGCCATACAATATGTAGTTGCATTGTATATAAAATTGCTAGGTTGCATCTAATCATGACTATGTCATTGTTTTAATAATTAGGCATTTATGAGTTATGGTATATATTCCTTATGTTGGCATGATATTTTGCTATTTTCCATGCATTAAGAATAAGACTAATTCTTAGAGTAATTTTATCTATGGCCTGTGGTTTTGTTTCTGTTTCTTTGTTCCTGTTGTTGTTTCTTTTTGAGGGGAGGGAGCAAAGCTGGTTTTTATCTCCCTGTGATATTTTCTCTCTGAAAAAAAGGGAGCCACGTCTGTAAATGTCTCCTAAAAATAATCAAGCAATATCATTCACTTTTTTGGGGGGGGGGACCCTTTAAATGTTCTTTTTTTCTTCTGGAAAAATAAAGGGACAAAACTGATTATTACAAAAATATAATCATTTAAAAATAAAATGAATGCCCGATTTGTATAATTCTCTAATGATTGTCATGAGAGAAAGCTTATATAACAAAAACATAGAGTTGTATCAAAATCTGTTTCAGCTGTATCTTTTGAGCGTCTAAGCAAGAGGAAGTACTATGAAAGAATTGTTAAGCTTCATCCACCTCGAATGCCATCAGGTTCTGAAAACTTGAAAGTTTGAATTTTAGAGAATTATGGGATGCAATGCAATGTTAAAGTCACACTATACCTTCCTGGGCCGAGTGTTGCTCACTTCGTGACTAATGATGCAAAATCTTCTCAATTTACCAGGTTTTTGTTGTTGGTTTTTTTTTTAATCCTCACCTGAGGATATTTTTCCCCGTTTATCTTCAGACAAAGTGGGAAGGAGAGAAAGGGAGAGAGATGAACATAGATGTGAGAGGGACACATCGACTGGCTGCCTCCAGCACAACCCTGGCTGGAAATGAACCTCAACCGAGCGAGGTACGTGCCCTTGAGTGGAATCGAACCCGTAACGCATTGGTCTGCCGGCCGACGCTCTACCGCTGAGCCAAACAGGCCAGGGCCCAACTTAAGAGTTTTTTACTGGCAATGAAATTCTTCACCCTCAGGTGCAATGGATGGAAAAGACCTTAGGGATAATCATTTCGAGTGTGTCGTGTTATTTCCCCCCCACATCACAACGTTAATTGTGTGTGCTTCCATTTTCGCCTTTGTCTTAACCAAACCACAAGTACATAGAAACTCTCCATGAAGTTAGCAAGTAAAGGACCGAGTCTCTTGAAAATGACCTTAATGGAATTCTGTATATAGCCGTTTAGAATGACTTTGAAAAATTATTTAGATTTTAGGATTTATTACTCTTCCACGTATGAATATTTTTGGTTAAATAGAATGGAGTTTTTAAAATGAGCCCGGGGCACTGTATGGACACGACGAGAGAATGCTTGTCGGAAGATTGCACATCCTTACAGATTCATTTCGTAAACAGTAAGAGGATTGGGGTTTTTGTAATTGCTTTTAAATGAAGATTTATTCTAGGGGAACACATAGAAGGAAAATGTACGCCATGCACTGTCGTATTATGTTCAGGAAAACCTGAAACTGGACACATTTCAGGGTGTGATCGATACTTACTGCCCCTGCCCCCATCTCATGGTCTTTGGTCCCGGTAAGAGAGTGACGGTCCTACTGCGGGGTCACTCAGAGTGCAGACTGGTGGGAGGGCCTGAGAACAGGTGTCGGAACAGCTGTGAGCTGCGTGGTGCTGGGCAGGTGTTAACCGTGGACGTCTGAGCCTTCTCACCTGGGAGGGAGGCGGGGTGCCCCCTGGCAGGTGTGCCAGGAGCCTGGAAGGAAGTGAACAGAAGCCCCAGCAGCGTGGCAGCTGCTGTAACAATCTCGGGGCCACCAGGCCCCTCTTTTTCTACTTATTGTTTCATTAATCCATCTTTCCATTTTTCATCCATCTCTTCAACCCTGGGGAAAAGCCAGATACATTTTTGAAAATGAAGATTTCATAAAAATCTTGAGTAAGTTCCTAAATTTCAAGGATATAGAGATTTCTCAAGAACGACTGTGATATGTGGGTCAATAGAGGATTTGACTCTGTCAAAATACATATGGTTTTAGTCAAGCGTCTTGCAAACGGCCACCTGGTGACATTAGACAGGGACATCAGTTGCCGCTTTCACTTTCAGATTAGGCAAAAGACACATCGGTCCTTACAGTTGGTTGTCACACATGGGCCATCTTTCTTTCGTTCAACAGAAACTGTGATGCGAAGTGTTTTATAGAAAAGGTTTTAAAAATTAAAACGGATCAAATGAACCAATTGTCCCCACATACACTTTTTAAACAGATGGACTTCCAAAGCCCATTGGCCATTTCCCTGGGTGGGTGTGGAACTTGACCATGGAGCCGTTGGGCTGGTGCAGATCCCTACCTGTTCCCTGGAGACTGGGACTCAGAAGGACTGGATAGGACCCTGGAGATTAACACGCTTCCTAAGCACCTCAGCGATTCTTATGCTAAGACAAATTAGGGAAACACTGCCCTGGGCCAAAGGGCTGCTTTTCTGAACAGTCAGAAGCATCTCTTTCAGTAATGAAGTTATCACTCTAATTCGAAATGCTTTAAATATTTTTCCAAGGAATCTAAGCCATCTGGTTGGTGTTACAGTGGTGTCATTATCATGTACATTTAACGTTTAAATTTTCTCAAATTTTTTTTTTAAAATTAAGAACTAGAACCATAGCAGTGTCTCTGTATACAGGACTGCATGCCCGTGTTGAAACGGATTGTGTAAAAGTTCACAGCTGCTTAGAAAGCGAACATTTTATGATCTCATGTACTATGAATCAGGAGTTTCATTACTGAAATAAAAACATTGGATCTCCCAAGCCCCAAGGCCAAATGTAGTTCTGTTATTCTTATTGTTTACCCTTCCAAGGTCATACAGGGAAAAGCACTCAACCCCTGAAAAAGCTGCCCCCTGCAACCCACCTTCTAAGACTTGGTTGTAAAATCGTGTTCTCGAAGTCCACATTCAGATACATTTTCTCTTCCCCTCTTCACCCAATTTCTGTTGGCTTCTTCTGCACGACTCAGAACAGCGTGCCGAACACGGGATGCTCCTGCCTGGAAGAAACCCCCAAAGCCCGAGCAGCCAGGATGCCAGCTGTCACCGACGGTCTCTGCCCTGACCACATATTTTGTGTTTACATAACTTGTTCTTACAGTTAGCGTCCCCTTCCTGGGCTGGCACAGCTGTGGTATAGCTGAGGCATGGTGTAGAAAAGGCTGCTTGTTCCTTGGCCTGCTGTGGATGGAGCCCCCGTGTTGGCCCCTGTGTCGCGGCCTCACTCAGTGCCACCGCTCTGCTGGGTCTCTGTCTGCAGCTACCGAGAAGCAGCAGCCAGGAGAGCCCATCGCCCCTCTTCTCTCCGGCCCGACAGAAGGACGGTGCGGAGGTGACCCAGCCTGGACGCAGGTCCTCGGGCCGGCTCTCTGCCTCCTCGTCGGAGGCTGGTCCTGCCTGTGTTCTAGAGGACAGATGGTCTCCGCGGCAGCCCTTCCCCGCACCGCCCAGAGGTCAGGCCAAGGGAGACGCTGGGACCAAGCGGCCCACTCAGCCCTGAGACACATGCCGGCCCGGCGGCAGCTCCCAGAAGCTTTAGAAAAGAAAGGGCCACTTTTGGAGGGGCCAGAGGCTGATGTGCCCAAAGGAAAGAGCTCAGTGTTGAGTCCCCGGTCCTCTGCCTTCCAGCAAAAGGCAGCCAACTCTGGCCATCTGAGCCTTGCACGCATTCCTCCGCAGCTTCCTGGTGGGCCAGTGGCTAGATTGTCGGAGATTTTAGCTCAAGGCTGATTTTTCTCTGCCCTGCAGAGGTTTCTTCGTAGAAGTCAGCTGTGAGTGTCCAGAGTGAAGGGTAGTATTTTCTCAGCCCTAACCCACAGCCCTTTCTGGTGATCTTACAACTCCCTCTGCAAAGCCCCCTGGGTTTCCCGACTTGGTACCTCGTGGGCCAGAGCAGCCAAGGTGCTGAGCACTAATAAATGAAAACAGCGAGTGTTATGTTGCACCCCAAGCGTCAGAGGACTTTACAACTTGGGTGGAGCTTTTGTAAATTGCACCCCCTCCCCAATCCCAATTCAGACCACGTCTGCCTACCAGGGGTCCCGTCCTTTGTTGAAATAGTTCTGCTATTTCAACAGGTGGAGCAGTGCTAATTGAACAAGAAACCAAACCCTCATACCACTGCAGAGACTCTGTGTTCTACTCACCATCAAAAGGGTTGACAGATTTTACATTTGGCAGAAGTGACATTTTCCTTCAGGCGAGATAGCTATTTAAGCCTAAGCTTTCAACCAGCTGTGTGCGCGGCCAGGCGGAGAAACTGCTGGAGAAACCCACCCAGGAAAACAGCATCAGCGAGCACATTCTTGTGACAGTTCTTTGTGCTTCTGTAGCCCCTCGACCAAGAGCTATCTTAAATTTTGTGCTTCCCGGTGATGCACAAGTTATCTTAGAGTAGGTCCTATCTGGGGACACACTCGAGTTTTAATGTGAACTCAAATGCCTACATTTTCTAACGCTGGGGGCCAGTTGTCTAAACCAGTTTTAAGTCAACTGGAATAAAAATGATCACCTATCCAACCTATGTGTTGTGATGATTTTCGGTTGTTGAAATGGGAAAGAGATCAGAGTTAAATGTTTTCTCCTTTTACTTTGAAAAGGTTCAAGGTTAAATTCAGGGAATCACAAGCACCGATTTTTCCCGAGTTTTCTTGTGGGTTTTTTTTTGTTTTTTTGTTTTCCCCCGGTAACACTCAAGTGCATAGATGTGTCAAAGTTCCCAAATGATCAAATTGCAACAGAATGACCAATGACATGTGTTACCTGAGTTGTGCCCTTCAGGATTGTTACAATGTCTGCTCCATATTTCCCATATTATCTTCCTCAACTTTAAATGGTAATTGGACAGCAAATACTAAGAGACTGTTGGATTTCCTTTCCCATCATCACACATCCCCCCCGACCCTTCATCGACTGGCCCGCTCATTTCCCCCAGCAGCCGACTAGCACTCTCAGCCCTGTATCAACGCTTTGAAAATAAACACCATAAACTAGGCCCTGCACATCTTCGTCCCCTGCGACCACGCCCACTGGCAGCAGCGATTTTTTCCTGTAGGTCAGCGTGTTTGAAATACGGCGGCACTTCAAAGCAAGGCCGGCTGGAAGGACAGCAATAAAAATACTAGCTCAGCTTAAAACAATTTGATTTCAACGCAAAATGAATTACCTTGCAACACAAACAGATAACGGCAAACAGAACAGTCTACTTATCAAGACTACTCCCTGCTGAGAGTCAGAACTCCGGGTTCAT